CCCTTTGGACACTTCATCCACCTGGTATATACCGGCCTTATCCCCGCCTCGTGCGGCACATCGGGATGCCGCTGACAACAATTCTGGTCGTCGGCCTGAATCGATGTTAGATCACCTGCCACCACCACGGCCGCTTGCTCCCTTAGCCCCACGCGGCGGACGAGAACCGGGACAGATGACGCCTACGACACCTGACTCGGATTCTGATGGTTCAGTGCGTCCACATCCAGGTGCCTCGTCGTTCCGACCGTCTCCTACGGTGGTTCATGGACCTCGGGAACTTCTACAAGAATTCACCATTGCACTTCGCAATGCACACCGTGAACCTTTCACGGCATGGACACAGGGTGAGCTGGATGAGATGGTGCGACGGAAGAAAGACAAGGATTCCAGGCCCACCTACAAAACCATTGCTCGGTTCCTTCACAAGCCCGTTGAGGAAGTCAAGCAGGCATGGAAGGTCTATCAGCAACTTGAGGCTCGCGGCTAGGAACCCGGTCATCAAATGCAACAGCGACCACAGGAGGACTAAATGGTAGGCCGTGGCGGTGTATTCGGCTAGCGCTGCAGGTTGTTGCGACGGTTGGGATTGCAGTCATTATTGATCACATGAAATTTGCTTGCTTGCACTTGACTGGCATTTTACCAGGGTAATATTGCTTGCCGTTGTGGGTGTTTCCGCTGACGTGAATTGAATGCATGACTGAGTTGCTCAAATCATGTCGGAACAAGTCGTACAGACGTACATTACTTGGACCCATGGAGCGCAGCCGACGTGGTTACAGTTTCACGGACCTGGAGCCCTGCTTGACAGACCCATTCGGCAGACTACGTCACCTCCGCCCCCACCAAGTTTCCCACTGCTTCACCGGTGATTCTACACCCACAGTTTATGCCCTCAGTACGGAGCCCCTCGATCTCAGCTCCTCGCGGACAATCCTGCCCTGCCACATCGAAATCGCAGCGCACACGCCGCTCGATCTACAGCACTGACCATTCCCGTGATGAAGAGCTACGCAGTCCAGGGCGTTCATCCAAACGATCTCGGACAGCATCCGCTTCAGCACCGCGGAGATCTCGGCGGCCCTTTACCGTGTTCCCCTCCAAACGTGCTGGCCGTCCATCGCTGTCCCCATCGGCAAATTGCAAGCATTACTGTCATGCCTTCCTGCGCCATGGGCGGAAATGTCTTTCCCCTTGTGATCGTAAACGACCAGGACATTATCATTGCAGGTGTGCGCGGCATCAACGGCGGTGAAGCTTAGGCGTCGTATATTACAAACCTCGCTGCTGTGTCTCACCTTGAGTTTGAAAAGTTGCCTTGCATCCCTTCAGCTGCGCGCGGTTGTCATTGCATGTGTGTCTTCGCCGCAGATTTTCGATTGCTTTTAGCGGCCGCGCGATAGCCTGTCTTGCCGCTATGAACCCTCAATATTTCGAGTACCAGATCGACAGAGGAGCGGAATGGATTCGAATTTACTCACCGGGCACGTGGCGACCCGTTCCCGATGATGCTCCAGTGCTCGACCCGGTCTACGCTTCCACGTATCGGGAGTGGCGCAGGTCATATCGCTTCCAAGTGTACTGGTCCGAAGACAGCACCGGAGGAACAACAACGGATCCCATTGTCACGCCCAGTTCGTATGTGTCCTACCACGTGTGGGAGTACCGAGACTGGCAAACACGAGGGTATCAACGACTTGGAGCTCCTTTACCAGCCATTGGACTCGCGATGCTCGTGAATGCAGACGCCAATTCCTCGGTAGACTCATCGGTTCCGGATGGGGCGTGGCGAGAGCCGTCACCACCACCATTCTATGATCCTTGGAACGAGTCGGAGTGATACTTGAGCAACATGTCGGATAAAATGACGCGGTTGTGCTTGCTTTGTATGCGATTCCATGTTGGGTTGTCTTGCTTGGTGTTGTGCGTTTCGTCTCCAGCTGTTCGCCGCTTTCATTTGACTCTGAGCGGTTTACCGGGTTGATATGTTCAATTGTACAATGTATAGCGCAGCACGATGGGTCCTGCCTCGCTACTTTGACTACGACATCGTCAATGGCCCCGCGAATACGAGTGTAGAATGGATTCGGATCTATGTACCGGGTCCGTGGCATCCAGTCGCCGAGAACACCTTGGGACCAGCCCCGGATGACTCAACCACCTATCGGGAATGGCGCAAGGTTTACCACTTCGAAGTGTATTGGCCGAGGGATAGCACAGGCGGCACCAATACAGGTGCTGTTTCGCAGCCGGTATCTTATGCATCCTTCTATACTTGGCATTATAGAGACTGGGTCACCAGGGGATACCAACGGCTGGGTCCCCCACACCCTAGCATTGCGCGGCCAGTTTTCGCTTCGGGCGCACCGGACCTCATGTACGCTGGATTGACCTCTTCATCGGCATCCTCCAACTCGGATGGTGGCTGATGCTCGTCCTCGCCTTCCTGGGGAGTCTGTTCAGTTCAATTCGATTCGGGAGATTGACTTCGATACCGGAGCCGTGCATTGCTGCAAAAGTGATTTCTTGCACTGTGGCAGTTGTGTCTCTTTCAGTAATTGTTGTCTGCAGCCGTACACCTATCAATTTGTCTTTCCGGGTTTGCGTTGTCATGCCGTGGCTGGAATGGTGTCCGGATCCTCAACAACCAGATGCCCAGTGGGTCAAGATCTTTCATCCGGGATCATGGACTCCACATGAAGAACATGATGCTCCACCTCCACCGCACACGTATAGAGAGTGGAGGGAGTTCTATGCTCCCAACCCGGACCAAGACGGTGAGCAGCTCAATGTCACCATGTGGTACAAAAGAGACTGGGCCACAGAGGGCTATCGGAGAGTCGCTGCCCCTCAAGCTGGTCATGACTTTGATTCTATGTCTTTTCCTGATCATCACAGCGTGGCCACGCAATCCGCGGCATTGAGTATGTCACCGCAGATGTTAGAAGCGATCCTTAGATCCTCGGATGCGGCGGATTTCTCTACCGAAGAACTGACTCGTCTCCAAGAGGGGGTTTCTCAACAACTGACAGCTCGCGCACGTCACGCTTCCCAACTTCATCAACCTGTACGTGCATCACGTGGAATCACACCATCGGAGACGGTTGGGGTCTCCGACCCATACCGGCCTGTTAATCCTCCCGACAGCTGCAAAGCCAAGGCGAGACCTATCTTCGAGCTAAATGAGGACTAGACGCACGCGAGTGGGGTAGCGTACAAAATAAGGGTGGTTTTCACACTTGCATTACCTTGCTTGGTTGTTGCTTGTACATGGTTGTGCATGGTGCCTGTTCCTCTATCAGCTGGATCGGAGCCCGCGATACGCCTTGCCTCTTACTTCGACATGGACATCGAGGATTCGAAGCAGCACCCATGGCTCGAATACTTGGTCTGGCAGGATCAGGAGTGGGTGCGGATCTACACTGCAGGACAGCCTCAGCGATGGCACCACGGAGAAACTGTACCTGATCTACCAGACAATTCTTTTCGGGAATGGCAGCGGGTGACTGATCCCAATGGGTGCACTGGTGAGCACGGTCAGGCATGGACCATCCGCGACTGGCAGCATCAGGGATACCAGCGCATTCTGTCTCGAATGGAGTCCTTCACAACTCATCATTCGCATGATCAATCTCTTGGTGAAGTTCGGAATTCCGATGCCATTCCAGTTGAGGAGACGTTCACCTATGCTACTCCGTTTTCTCATGGTGATCTCTCGACTGCTTCACAACTCGCTTCAGTCCTCTATGGCGACACTCGTAATGCTCAACGTGGTGATCTCTCGTTCCCGTCTTCTGAGCGGTTTAGGGCTGTTTCTCGTTCCCCTCGCCGCGGTGGATTTTTTGGTCAACGATAGGGACACGGGGTTGAGCATGTGATCTTCCTGCGGAAAAGGAGACTCCTCGCCCCTCGTTGAGGGGCGTGTGTGTGCGGAGTGACAGAATGCCCTGTCACCACCCTTTCGGTTTCTCAGCAGGGGGGCAGTGGATCGCCATCACTCACTGCCCAACGAAGACAGTGATGGTTTGGTCGTGAAATCCGGAAGGGACGCCTTCTGGACGTACCTGCAATTTGAGAAAGTCGTGATGCTCTGAACGTCCTTTTGGTCCCCCCCTGAACCGCTGTTGCTTCCTTGTTTCCCTGTTGAAGTAACTACAGGGAAGCCAAGTGACCAGCAAGCCGATGGGGTTTGTCCCCAGTTGTACTCGAGACTCATCAGTTGTACTCGAGACTCATCAGTTGTACTCGAAAGATTAGCACAATCCATTTGGAGTTTAAGTGTGTGTGTGTGTGTGTGTGTGTGTGTGTGTGTGTGTGTGTGTGTGTGTGTGTGTGTGTGTGTGTGTGTGTGTGTGTGTGTGTGTGTGTGTGTGTGTGTGTGTGTGCGTGTATATATGTATTGTGTATTTTATGTACGCATGTTGGGGGGCTCCCCAATTCCATGTCCAGCCTTCCCACAAACAAGAACATGAACCCATAAAATGGGATTTCAGGGTCAGCCCGGTCGCCCCCGGCAACGCGGAGCTTTCAGGCAGGCAACTCCGAGTGGCCAAGCCCCAGAAAAAGCAACCAAACTGTTCATGTACCAGCACCCTCCAAGGGTGGTCCAATTGGTCCATTGAGGCCATTTTGGGGTAACAAAGTGACTAAAGTCCGAGACAGAACACAGGGAGTGAGGCTGGCCCAAAAACAAGTTGCAGGGCGCGAACAAAAGTGAGCGGCCTCGCTCTAATTTGCGGAGAACCCAGAGTGGTTTTCTTGGGGCAATCCCTGTTAAAACACTTCCATTTGGTTAAGTCGCGTGGAAAAAATACTTCCAGTAGTCATACATTTCCTTTAAAACCAAGTGGGGAAAAAACTGAAGCGCAACTGAAAGATGATGTTA